GAGGGTTTTTGTGTCTCTATCTCCTTCAGTTCTGCTCTGATCTTAGTTATTTCTTGCCTTCTGCTAGCTTTTGAATGTGTTTGCTCTTGCTTCTCTAGTTCTTTTAATTGTGATGCTAAGGTGTCAATTTTAGATCTTTCCTACTTTCTCTTGTGGGCATTTAGTGCCATAAATTTCCCTCTACACACTGCTTTAAATGTGTCCCAGAGATTCTGGTATGTTGTATCTTTGTTCTCATTGGTTTCAAAGAACATCCTTATTTCTGCCTTCATTTCGTTATGTCCCCAGTAGTCATTCAGGAGCAGGTTGTTCAGTTTCCACGTAGTTGAGCAGTTTTGATTGAGTTTCTTAGTCCTGAGTTCTAGTTTGATTGCACTGTGGTCTGAGAGACAGTTTGTTATAATTTCTGTTCTTTTACATTTGCTGAGCAGTGCTTTACTTCCAATATGTGGTCAATTTTGGAATAAGTGCGATGTGGTGCTGAGAAGAATGTACATTCTGTTGATTTGGGGTTGAGAGTTCTGTAGATGTCTATTAGGTCTGCTTGGTGCACAGTTGAGTTCAATTCCTGGATATCCTTGTTAACTTTCTGTCTCGTTGATCTGTCTAATGTTGACAGTGGGGTGTTAAAGTCTCCCATTATTATTGTATGGGAGTCTAAGTCCCTCTTTGTAAGTCTCTAAGGACTTGCTTTATGAATCTGGGTGCTCCTGTATTGGGTGCATATATATTTAGGATAGTTAGCTCTTCCTGATGAATTGATCCCTTTACCATTATGTAATGACCTTCTTTGTCTCTTTTGATCTTTGATGGTTTAAAGTCTGTTTTTTCAGAGATTAGGATTGCAACCCCTGCTTTTTGTTTTGTTTTGTTTTCCATTTGCTTGGGAGATCTTCCTCCATCCCTTTATTTTGAGCCTATGTGTGTCTCTGCATGTGAGATGGGTCTCCTGAATACAGCAAACTGATGCGTCTTGACTCTTTTTCCAATTTGCCACTCTGTGTCTTTTAATTGGACCATTTAGTCCATTTACATTTAAGGTTAACATTGTTATGTGTGAACTTGATCCTGTCATTATGATATTAGCTGGTTATTTTGCTCGCTAGTTGATGCAGTATCTTCCTAGCATCAATGGACTTTACATTTTGACATGTTTTTGCAATGGCTGGTACCTATTGTTCCTTCCATGTTTAGTGCTTCCTTCAGGATCTCTTGTAGGGCAGGCCTGGTGGTGACAAAATCTCTAAGCATTTGCTTGTCTGTAAAGGATTTTATTTCTCCTTCACTTATGAAACTTAGTTTGGCTGGATATGAAATTCTGGGTTGAAAATTCTTTTCTTTAAGAATGTTGAATATTGGCCCCCACTCTCTTCTGGCTTGGAGAGTTTCTGCTGAGAGATCTGCTGTTAGTCTGATGGGCTTCCCCTTGTGTGTAACCTGACCTTTCTCTCTGGCTGCCCTTAACATTTTTTCCTTCATTTCAACTTTGGTGAATCTGACAATTATGTGTCTTGGAGTTGCTCCTCTTGAGGAGTATCTTTGTGGTGTTCTCTGTATTTCCTGAATTTGAATGTTGGCCTGCCTTACTAGATTAGGGAAGTTCTCCTGGATGATATCCTGCAGAGTGTTTTCCAACTTGGTTCCATTTTCCCTGTCACTTTCAGGGACACCAATCAGATGTAGATTTGGTCTTTTCACATAATCCCATATTTCTTGGAGGCTTTGTTCATTTCTTTTTACTCTTTTTTTCTCTACACTTCTCTTCTTGCTTCATTTCATTCCTTGGATCTTCAATCGCTGATACTCTTTCTTCCAGTTGATCGAGTCGGTTACTGAAGCTTGTGCATTTGTCACATAGTTCTCGTGTTATGGTTTTCATCTCTATCAGTTCTTTTAAGGTCTTCTCTGCATTGATTATTCTAGCTATCCATTCATCCATTCTTCTTTCAAGGTTTTTAGTTTCTTTGTGCTGGCTATATAGCTCCTCCTTTAGCTCTGAGAAGTTTGATCGACTGAAGCCTTCTTCCCTCAACTCGTCAAAGTCATTCTCCATTCAGCTTTGTTCCATTGCTGGCGATGAACTGTGTTCCTTTGGAGGGGGAGAGGTGTTCTGATTTTTTGGATTTCCAGCTTTTCTGCACTGCTTTTTCCTCATCTTTGTGGTTTTATCTGCCTTTGGTCTTTGATGATGGTGACGTACTGACGGGGTTTTGGTGTGGATGTCCTTTCTGTTTGTTAGTTTTCCTTCTAACAGTCAGGATCCTCAGCTGCAGGTCTGTTGGAGTTTGCTTGAGGTCCACTCCAGACCCTGTTTGCCTGGGTATCAGCAGAGGAGGCTGCAGAAGATAGAATATTGCTGAACTGAAAGTGTTGCTGTCTGATTCTTGCTCTGGAAGCTTCGTCTCAGGGGTGTACTCTGCCATGTGAGGTGTGAGGTGTCAGTCTGCACCTATTGGGGGATGTCTCCCAGTTAGGCTCCTCAGGGGTCAGGAACCCACTTAAGCAGGCAGTCTGTCCGTTCTCAGATCTCAACCTCCATGCTGGGAGATCCACTGCTCTCTTCAAAGCTGTCAGACAGGGGCATTTACCTCTGCCGAGGTTTCTGCTGCTTTTTGTTTAGCTGTGCCCTGTCCCCAGAGGAGCAGTCTACAGAGGCAGGCCGGCCTCTTTGAGCTGTGGTGGGTTCCACCCAATTCGAGCTTCCCGGAGGCTTTGTTTACCTACTTAAACCTCAGCAATGGTGGGCGCCCCTCCCCTAGTCTCACTGCTGCCTAGCAGTTAGATCTCAGACTGCTGTGCTAGCAATGAGGGAGGCTCCCTGGGCTTGGGACCCCCTGGGCCAGGTGTGGGATATATAATCTCCTGGTGTGCTGTTTGCTAAGACCCTTGGTAAAGCGCAGTATTAGGGTAGGAGTTACCCGATTTTCCAGGTGTTGTATGTCTCAATTTCCTTTGGCTAGGAAAAGGAATTCCCTTCCCCCTTGTGCTTCCCAGGTGAGGCGATGCCTCGCCCTGCTTCAGCTCTCGCTGTTCAGGCTGCACCCGTGGACCAGCGCAAACTGTCTGACACACCCCAGTGAGATGAACCCAGTACCTCAGTTGAAAACGTAGAAATCACCCATCTTCTGTGTCGCTCACGCTGGGAGCTGGAGGCTGGAGCTGTTCCTATTCGGCCTTGGGTGCGCGCCCGATAGCAGTTCTTAAAGTTTTTGGACTCATACACCATTCACATTCAACATTATTGAGGACCCCAAAGGGTTTTTGTTTATGTGGGTTATATCTATTGAAACTTTCTGTATTTAAAAATGTAAAAAATTAAATATCTACTTACTAGTTAATTCTAAAATTACAGTAATAAACCCACTGTATATTAACATAAATAACATATTTAAGCCCACTGTATATTAACATATTTTTATGAAAAAATAATTATATTTCCAAAACATAATGTTAATGAGAAGAATTGCATTGTTTTATATTTTTGCAAATCTCTTTAGTGTCTGGCTTAATAGAAGAATGCTGGATTCTGCTACCTACTTCAGCATTCAACCTGCTGCAACATAAAATTTGGTTGAAGTATATGCAGAAAAAGTAGCTTCATAAAGATACGGCTGAAAAAGGAAGGAACACAGTTGTAGATATTCTCCTGTGATACTGCACCAAGATTCAACAAGTTGTTTTTTAAAAGATACAATGTAGACTCTGAAACTATACCAATAAACTTTTTGGGCTCTCTTAAATTAAAATACATTGGTCTATCTTGAACTTGGAATAGAGTTTTTATCCATGCATAATTTTGTAACCCCAAGCATTGCTATTTGGACAATATTGATTCACTGAGTTAGCAAATGTTCCAAATTTTGACACATTTAATCATATAATATTTTTAAAAATCACATTAGTTAATATTCCTAATTTCATAATAAAATCTCTAAATATTAAGAAGCCGTCAACCTCATGATAGTAGATACAAGTGTTCTGAAACTTTAATTCACTTGAAAGCTCAAACTTCATCACCGGCAATGAAGACTATCAGCTGTTTTCTTTGAAGTGACAAGCTCATTTTATTCATTTTGAAGAACATTTCTGCCAAATACTCAGGTCAGAATAAGCACAGTTTTTCCATAAGTCTTTTTTTTTTTTTCAAGTAAAAATGATGTTCGATGAAAAAAGCAACTAGTTCAGTTTGCAACTCAAACAATTACACAAATGTTTTTCTTCAAGAAAAGCCTGATAATTTGGCATGCAGTAAAGTGCTTTATATAAACTTCACATTTCATCAGCTAACATAAAAGGCATATATTCAAGGGTCTATATTTAGTTTTTACTGCTTCACCAAGAGTGTTTTTAATTGCATCTGGAATTTTTTAAAAAATTATGAGTATGTAAGGGTGAAGCATAAAATGACTTCTAGTACAGTTTGGTGTAACTAAGGTACCACCAATAGCTTTTGCACCATCAATCTAAATATCAACAAAGTGAAAAAGCCAAATTATGTCAGGATTATTACGAAAATCATGCTGGCTTTGCAGACACCCTGAAAAGATGTCAGGATTCCTGGGGTTGTGTGGACAATAATTTAAGAATAGCTGTGTTAGAGAATTTTCAATATTAAGGGATATTGTTCCTTTTAGGCAAGTCCATGCGATACAGGTTAAAACCAAGGAAGGCTACATTGAACCAGAAATGGTCCTGTTCAGACACCATTCAGGACAGGCTGCTGTATACCCCCTCTATCCAATCCTGGTGCTGGCACTCAGGTAATAACTGTCACCACGGATAGGGCTAATCCAGATTTGAATGCTTTTCCTTAATGCGGCTACACCTCTGATCTTTAACAAAATGGCCAAAAAGGCTGATTGGGAAGAAATGAACTTATGCTATCGAATCAAACCTATAGATTCTGTGTATGCTATAGAATCAAAAATATTGTGTGCAGGAGAGAGAAAATAATATTTTAAAAATAACTTCAATGCAAATATAAACACAGCAAACTCTACCTCACTGTGGCTCTTCTGTTAACTCCCAGTCCTTTCACACTGGGAACTCACATCTCGAATGGTTCTGTGGTAGTAGATCCTCTGGACCTGAAAGACAGGCAATTATAAAATGTTATTATGTACATATCTGTAACTTATAAAAATTTATATTTACAATTTATATACTTCTTCATTTTTGTTGCCCTAGCTATTTTTCCTATGCTACAGTGTAAGTTAATACTAATGTAGAAACCTGGGAAACGTTTTCCCAATGTGAATGGATTCACTAAATACTTGTTTCAAGTCCCTCATTCTCATTTATAAAACAAGAAAGAGAAATAGCAAATGAATCTAGATGAGGGCCAAAATTAACCCTCATTAGTATTTTTTTTTTTTTTTTAAATAACAGAAATTTATTTTTATACAGTTCTGGACGTTGGGAAGTCCACAATCAACATGCTGGTTGATTCAATTTCTGGGACAGGCACTTTCCTGTCTTATAGAGGCCATGACCACTTTCTCACTATGACCTCACCTGGTCATGCCTCAGTGCACACATACACACACACACAAACATACACACACACACAAACATACACACACACACAGGAAGAGAAAGACTTTTTTCTTTCTCTCTTTATAAATCCACTGGTCCTATTGGATTAGGACTCTGCCCTTGTGACCTCATTCAAGCTTATTTTCCTACTAAAATTTTTATCTCCAAACACAGTCACGTTGGGTTTATGGCTTCATCATATAAATTCGCAGGAATAGGGCCCTTGATTCAGTTCATAGCCCCCTTTATAACCTAAGCAGTATATATATTTTAAACAAAATCCAAAAAGTGTTTTTTTGTTTGTTTTTTCTTTTCTTTTCTTTCTTTCATTTTTTTTTTTTACAAAGCAAGTAAAATAAGAATGCATTTTAAAAAAATAACTTTACGTCTTAGAGTAACAGTTGTATTTTAAGGATGTAAACTATTAACGTAGTAATTTCAGTTGTATGTTATTTTTAATGCAATACCTGCTTCACTCTTACATACCACATTCATAACTCACTTTTTTAGCCAATATTTTTTAGCCAAAAGTTTTTCTCACTTTTTTAGCCAATATTCAAAATCGATGAATATGGTGAAACAGACTTATTCTACTAATGAGAACATTCACTGGTATCGAAAGCTCATAAACATTCCTAATTTTTGATCCTATAATCCCATTCTGAGAAAATATCCTAAGGAAATAGAAATTTTGGCAAAAATGAGAGCATATAACTAATTGCAGAATGCATAAATCAATTATGGCACATCTGTGAAGAGGAATGTTATTAGGTCACTAAAAATGAATTAGAAAGTTTTATAATGTAAGAAATTATTTGTAATAACTATTTTTAAAAGTAGAATATATATATTTACTTACATATATACATACACTAATCTCAATTAGGCAAAAATACATATATACCAACATAAAATTTTAAAATAATACATGTTAACTTTTTAAAGTTCTAAACTAGAAAATAATTTGAATGATAATAAAATGAATTGGTTAAAGTACGGTGAAAGGACACTCATAAATAAGAGTATAAGTTGGTATTCTTTTTCTTTAGAGCAGTTTGGCAGTATGTACCAAAAATTTTAAAAATATGAATTTTATTCATCCAGAAGTTCTAATTCTAGGAGTTTTAAAGGATATCTTTAGAGCTATTTTCAGAAATTGTACTATTCACACAGTGGGATAATAAACTGGCACTAAAAATGATGGGGTTTATGAATTTGTTTCTTTAGTTTTTTGCTTATAAAACTGGCAAACAATTTTCAGCTTTATCAAGGTATAATTGAGAAATAAAAACTATATATTTAAGTGCACAACTTGATGTTTTGATATACATATACACTGTAAAATAATCATCCCAATCAAGCCAATTAACATATCTATCACCCCACATACTTACCATTCTTATTTTCTTTTTTCTCTTTTTTGGTGCAGTGAGAACATTTAAGACCTATCTGCTTAAAAAATGTAAAGTATACAATACAGTATTTGTTAACTGTAGTCACCACACTGTACATTAGATCTCTAGAATTCATTCATTTTTTATAACTGAAACTTTTTATCTTCTGACTAACATCTCCCAATTTCTCCTTCCCACTTTCCCCCTTCCCATTCCCTGGCAAACACCATTCCACTCTCTGCTTCTATAAGTTTGACTATTTTAGATTCCACATATAAATGAAGTCATGCAGTATTTGTATTTGTGTGTCTGGTTTATTTCACGCAGCATAATGTCCCCCAGGTTCATCCGTATTGTCACAGGTGGCAGGATAGCCTTCTTTGTTAAGGCTAAAGCACATTCCATTGTATATATACACACCACATTTTTTCTTTATCCATTCATTGGTTGATGAATATTTAAGTTGTTTACATATCTTGATTATTATCAATAATGCAGCAATAAATTAAAAATTATGTTTTTAAAAGTACATTCATTGATTTGGAAATGTATTCAAGGTACACTGTTGAGTGGGCAAAAAAAGCATCCTAACATACAGTGTGAATGGTATTATCCTATTTTGTAAATAAATGGGTAAATAGTTGCACATATATTCAGTCATGTATCACTTAACAATGGGAATACAGTCTAAGAAATATGTTGTTAGGCAATTTCATCATTGTGTGAACATTATGAAGTATATTGACATAAGCCTAGAAGGTATAGCCTATTACACATCCAGGCTACCTGGTACAGCCTGTTGCTCCTAGGCTACAAAGTTGTAGACTATGTTACTATACTGAACACCGTAGGGAATTGTAACACAATGGTAAATATTTGTATATCTAGACATATCTAAATAGAGACAAGGTACAGTTAAAATGCAGTATAAAAGAGAAAAAAACGATTTGCCCGTATATCTAACCATGAAAAGAGTTTTCAGGACTGGAAGTTGCTGTGGGTGAATCAGCAAGTGGTGATTGAATGTGAGGGTCTAAGACATTACTGTACACTACTGTAGACTTTATAAACACTGTACAATTAGCCTACACTAAATTCATAGATATTTTTATTTCTTTTATAATAAATTAAACTTAGCTTTTTGTAGACTTTTACTTTATAAATTTATTTTTAAAAAAAATTAAAAATTAAAATTTTAATTAAAAAAATCAAAGTTTGACTTTTTTATTTGGCTCTTTTGTAATAAGTTGGCTTAAAACACACATTGTACAGCTGTACAAAAATATATTCTTCCTTTGTATCCTTATTCTATAAGATTTTTATCTATTTTATTTATTTTGCTTTACTTTTTACTTTTCTTGTTAAGAAAAAACACACAAACACACACAGCCTAGGCCTATACAGAGTCAGGATTATTAATATCACTGTCTCCCACCTCCACATCTTATCCCACTGGAAGGACTTTAGGAGCAATAACACTTATGGAGCTGTCATCTCTTATAATAACAATGCCTTCTTCTGGAATACCTCCTGAAGGACCTACCTGAGGCTGTTTTACAGTTAACTCTTTTTATATATATGTAGAAGTACATTATAAAATAATGATTGAATGTATAGTATGGGGTTGGGTATGGTGGCAAACTTCTGCAATCCCAGCACTTTGGGAGGCCAGGCAGGCAGATCACTTGAGGTCAAGAGTTCAAGACTGACCTGGCCCACATGGTGAAACTCTGTCTCCAGTAAGCATACAAAAATTAACCAGGCATGGTGGTGCATGGCATGCCTGTAATCTCAGCTATTCAGGAGGCTGAGGCAGGAGAATCACTTGAACCCAGGAGGCAGAGGTTGTAGTAAGCTGAGATTACGCCACTGCACTCCAGCCTGGGTGACAGAGTGAGACTCTGTCTCAAAAAATAAAAAATAAATAAAAATAATTTTTTTAAACTATAGTATGGTAAATATATAAACTAGTAACATAGTTTTTTATTATCCTTATCTAACATTATGTACTGTATATAATTATGTGTGCTATACTTTTATACAACTGGAAGCACAGTAGTTTTCTTTAATTAGCATCACCACGAACACATGAGCAATGCATTGTGCTATATTAGGATGGCTACAACATTGTTGTACAATAGGAATTTTTCAACTCCATTTTAATCTTATGGGACCACTATTATATATGTGGTCCATTACTGGCTGAAATGTTATGCATTATAAGACTATATATATGTATATAGAGAAAATATGAATTCACCCTGAGAGGTCTGAGAAAAGAAAGAAAAGAAAAGAAAAGAAAAAAACGAGTAAAGATACCATGATATTAGCATGTGATATTAGAGGGTGATGGTCTTATGGGTGAAGTATCAGTCAGGGTTCTCCAGGAAACAGAATTAATAGGAGACATATATACACACACACACATATATATATCATATATTATATATATAAATATATGTCACACATATATATATATAGAGAGAGTTATTTTAAGTAATTAGTTTATAGGATTGTGAGGGCTGGCAAGTTTAAAACTCAAAGGATAGGCCAGTGGGTTAGAAACGTAGGCAGTATTTCTATGATAGTGTTTGAGGCAGAATTTCTTATTCTGTGGCAACCTTCAGTTTTTGCTTATAAGGCCTTCAACTGCTTGGGTAAGGCCAACCCACATTATACAGGGCAATCTCCTTTACTTAAAGTCGGCTGATTGTAGATGTTAACCACATTGCTAAAATATCTTCACAGTAACACCTAAGTTAGGTTTTATTAAATCACTTTAGGAACTATATAGCCTGGCCAGTTGACACATAAATTAATCATCACAGAAGACTTTCCTTTGGTTTTGTGCTTTTTATATTTTTAATTTTTCTTTAATGAAGCTATACTGTATAGTAAACGCATCAGAGTAAATGCATGTGCATAGCAAAAAAATAAAACAAAATACACCAAAAAGCAAATAATAAATTATCCCAGATGATGATTCAGGACTTATTTTCTTCATGCTATTTAACAAACTCTTAAAAATGCTCAAGATTTTTTCCCTTAATGCTATTTCTTGTACAGCTATAGGGCAAGTTGAAAGAATATTCCTTTATTTAAGCAAGAAAACAACTTCCGTATTTGAAGACACCTGAAAATCTCTATCAGATTCTTTTATTCTATGGTCACATCCAATATTCCATTTCCAACACCTCTTCTAGCTATCATAACTGAGGTTAAACTGCCCCTCCATTACTATTTCTTATATCCATTATTCAGGTCAAGACTCTTGGTTGAAAATCACAGGATGATTTCTAACTAATTTAAGCAAAATGAGACTTACTGAATATATGAGAAAGTGTCAGAATCTCAAAGAGTCAGAGAATTGGACTTAAAATGCTAAGCAGCTAGAAATATAGGAACAATGCCCATCTTCTACCCGAGGGGAAATGTATTAGTGAAAACAGCCCTGCTACCACCACCCACTGCTCAGCACTGATCATACCCGAGATTGAGTGCCAGAAACTCCAGCGCCACAACCCCAGAAGAACCGGAACATTTCTTCCACCACAACTACCAGAAAATTTATCTCTCCATGGCCACATCCTAACACTAGTCCCTTTCTCATCGGTCTTTGGTAGGGGTGCATCTGAATGAGGAAACCTAGGTCACATGCTTGTACCTTAAGTAGCAAAAGATTCTGATGCAGTTTTTGCAGCATACTTTGATGAGACAGAACTCAAAAGATGGAAAACTACAAGACATACAAGAGCATTTTCAAAAGATGTTGAGCAGACACAAGTAATTACTGTACCCATCGGCACTTGAATGTGCAGATTGATGCAGAGAGTCTAGTGCGTAGTACAGTCTTCTCCTTGTTTGTCATCCTTACCTTTCACACCTTGAGTTTGAAGAGTGGAAATCAGAAATTATTTCAGTCCAGGAGGCTTTCCGTTACACCTCCTTTATGTCAGAAGTTCCAGAATAGAGCAAATATTCATGGGCATATCAAGGTTTTCTTTCTGGAATGTCCCAATGAATTTGTTTGTTTTCTGGAAATGGCCCTCTATTATGTGGTCCTAAATGTTTCCTGCTGTTTTTCTACTTGTCATATTACCAAGAAGAAAATAAAGAAAGAGGGAGAACGTTTTGAATCCAAAAACCTGTGTTTGGATTCGAAAACATATGGTTCAGGCAGACATTGCTTTGCTGTTATGGAAACTATCTTTTCCCCACCAAGTGTATCTGAGTAGCTGGCAATTATTCTACTTTGAAGTGTAGCAGGTTTTCTACATAAGGTGCCAAATCTTAATGTTTTTACACATGTTTTATACCAACTCCACATGCTAAACTGAACAGCAAATACTGCTGCCCACAATCAGAACAGGCAAAACATCAAGTCTTTCAGCAAAAACAATGAATTCAAGTAGATAAGTGAGATCCCGTCTCTACAAAAAAAATACCAAAAACTTACCAGGCATAGTGGTGTGGACCTGTAGTCCCAGTTACTTTGGAGGCTGAGCTGGGAGGATTGCTTGAGCCCCAGGAGCTCGAGGCTGCAATGAGCTGTGATTGTGCCACTGCAGTCCAGTCTGGGCAACACATTGAGACCCTGTCTTAAAATAAATAAATAAATAAATAAATAAATATAAAGAAAAGAAAAAAAGAAATTAAATGCTCCACGTCCGGCACAACCACCCTCAGAGATGACAAAACTGCTTAGGTAGTGTAAGCATTACGATTCTATTGTTACATGTTAAGTTATTCACAAGTCTGTCTTTGAAGGGATAGCTGCTTTTATTCCCTATGGAAATGTCCGCAGGGCTGCAATGCATCCAGGATATGAAGCAATTTTCTGAAAGTCCTACTCAGTGACAGAGGAAAACTAGCTGTTCCTGAAAAAGACAAATGGACACATCCTCTGTGAAATATTGTTGGCAAAAGCAGAAAAGATTAAGTTGATCTACCAGCACTAAAGAGTTCTGTTGGGTTTGTCTACCTATTTTGGCAAAGAAAAATAACACATTGCTACAGAATCTAAGATATTTCATGTCCTACCCTGCATCTTACACAAAGAACCTATTATCCATTATAAACAATCCCTTGGTGCCCTCTGTCATCTAATCTCCAGCCCACAAGTAGAAATGATCCTGAGGCCTTAATTGCTTTTCATAGGTCATCATCACTGTCATCCAGTTCTCTTTGTGGAGCAGAACAAAAAAGGCATGTAACGTAATCAGCTGTCAGAGTGTTCAGCTTTTCCCTGTAAGACAATCCTGCCTGTCAAATGAAGAGAAAGTATCACAGCAGAAAAATATGCATGCCTGAATTCAAGTAGACGCTAAGGATTCTTTCATTAGAAAGAAAGCAAAAAAAAAAAAAAAAAAAAAAAAAAAAAAAAATTGGAGAGTCAGTTCAAGAGAGGATATTAATATATCCTAATTAGTAATGTCCTTTCCTAGATGCTCCTGGACATTGTGCTATCATCTGTGAAGTTCTTTTTCATTGGGTTAAGTAAAAATTGATGAAAGAGACACCCAGGAGCCAATCTTCCTAGATGATGATGCAAAAGATGTCCTCTTCAGTCAGCATTGATGGTGGCTCCTGCTGAAAATATCCACAAAGCCAGGAAAGAGGGTTACAGAAGATGAAGGAAATAAGAGAGTGGTTCCCAAGGTGCAGCCTTAAGAAAGGCAGAAATTTGGCAGGATTCACAGGGAGGTGTGTGGGGACCCCTAGAAAGATGTGTTGCTTTTGTAGAGACAGGGACAGTATTTAAATCTGGAAATAGCCATAACCCCCTGGCTACTCCTCAGCTCTGGGATCAGACTTGCTTGTTCTCTGCCTAAGTCCCATGGTAAGTTCTCCACCTCCTGTAGATACTGTACTAATCCTGTGATAGCCCACTGGGGAGGAGAGCTCTACTTGAATTGCTGACAACTGTTGATGAGGAATGGGGCAGAGGCTTAGCATATTCACATTTATTTTCTGAGAGCACACTTCCTGCCCTCTCTACCTTTCTTCCTTTCTTCTTCCAGAAACATTTATTGTCACTGACATGGAGATGAAGTATTTTATAAGGTGTCTGGACCCTCAAGGTGTAAAATTATACTTTCCTTTCATTATCTTCTATTAGGAAGCTCTGTGTCTCTTTCACTCGCTGGACTATAAATCACAGGAAAGAAGGAACCATTCTGGGTGTTGGGTTCTCGTTACCTATCATACCATCCAACACATAGTAGGTGTTCAATAAATACCCATTGGTTGAAAGTATGAAAAAGGAATTTTGATCATGAGCCTAGACAACCAGTCCATACTGGTCTTTAAAAGCACTCCAGATTTATAGGCTGAAATGGGATTAAAACAAGACAATCAGAAGAAAAAAACCTTAAACACAGCAGGATTTATGATCATTACAGAGCTAAAAGTACATTATATTCTAATACTAAGGCAGTATACCAGGCTGCCTTTGTTATCATTCATATAAACTCCTCTAGCTCACTTTCTGATTTTTTCCTTCCAATAATTTGCCCTTGATTAACTTTCTTTTTTAAAACTAACATTTATTAAGTACCAATATTGTGCAGAAATGCTGTGCTTTTGTTTTCTCCTGTAAATTACATGAAGCAACGATCACCCCAGTTTTGGAAATGGGAAAAATTGAAGCTCTCAGAGTTTAAGTTCTTACAGGTAGTAAATAGAATGGTTAGGATTGGAACCCAGGTTTGTGGGCTGCTACAATGCAGTTTGTTAAATATCAAGTGGCTTCTTCAGTGTTCCTTGGCTATACCTCACCCTTTTAAATCCCATTTTGGAAAAAAATTCCTGAGAGCTCTGTTCTTCATTCCTTTATTTGTTTTTCTTTTGCCCATGAATCTGATGACATATAAGTTATACCCATGACCTTCAGTATTTTGCCAGACCTTGGCCAGGGGTGGCTCTTCTAGCCAATAGATATCATGGTGGCTGCCCTCAGAAGGCATGAAAACCTCCAGGAGGAGGACTTTGGAAATTTGGAACCCATTGGCCCAGGGAAAGAGCTGAATATTTCTAGGGAGGCCAGACCCACCAAGGACTGCTGCATTGGTCATAAACATAATACCAATGTTACACCTTGAGGGTCCAGACACCTTATAAAATACTTCATCTCCATGTCAGTGACAATAAATGTTTCTGGAAGAAGAAAGGAAGAAAGGTAGAGAGGGCAGGAAGTGTGCTCTCAGAAAATAAATGTGAATATGCTAAGCCTCTGCCCCATTCCTCATCAATAGTTGACAGCAATTCAAGTAGAGCTCTCCTCCCCAGTGGGTTATCACAGGATTAGTACAGTATCTACAGGAGGTGGAGAACTTATTGACTAGCCTTGTTAATGATGACCTTTCTGGAAACTTTTCCAGAACCTGAGTTTTTTTTAATGCTTTAGCACAATAATGCTTTATCAGCCTTCCTACATAATGAGCAATGGAAATGAGCCAACATGGAAAAGTGACTCCATTTACTTAGTTCCACACTACAGACGGCCTGATGAACACTATGAGCTAATGGAAAACTAACACATGCTGGTCCAGGTCAACAGCTGTTTCCTTTGTAACTGGGGCCTACAAGACACAGGTGTATTTCATGGGCCCTTATGTAGGCCGCCATCTGCTAACAGATGTTCTTCATTTACTTTAAATATAAAGATAGGTACCCAGAATTGGAAGTGTGAGTGAGTGTATTGTGGATATTAACTTGGCTTCGTTTAGGTATACATGGTTGGGAGCTCTCCAACTTGAGTTATATCATAAACAGGTGAATCCCTAAGACAGCACCTCAAGTTTACTCATAGCTTCTCTATGGTGAAAATAGGAATTACATGTGCTTTCTTCTATTGTTTTGCTTGTGAATTTGCTTTACATGTCTTCTCATAATTCCACCACATCAAGTCTCTCTGAAGCAATAGTTGCACCATGTAGTCCAAGTAGGCAGGCTAGGCACTTACAATCCAAAGTCTTCATATCCCTACCCTGAATATGAAGAGATCTGGAATAAAGCAACAGTACTGTTGACTTCCAGGCCTCCCCCTTACTGTGAATCAGTGCTGTTATGCCTGTGAATTTCAGTTTTCTGTGTATAGAAGTTGGATGCAGTTGTGGGGGGTGAAAATTAAAGAATCTATTTGGCCCTGCAGGGGTGTTTCATAGCTCCATGTTGCTCTCTTTAGTTTATGAGGTTCCATATTGCATATTGTCCTCAGTTTGGGGCCTTTAAAGTTTCAGGAAAGTAAGAACAATTTCATTCAATACTCTGTTATAGCTACTTGCTTCTTTTCTTTCTATCTTACTCCTAGAAATACCCAGAAGTAGATTATAGTCGCTGTTTTATCCCCAGAATCTCTAACAGTGCGCGGTACATACAAAATTCTGGTCCTGGTTCTACTCCAGTACTGCCTAATATTGTGTAATCTTAGGCAAGTCAGCGAGATATTTAACTTCTCTGAGTTTGCATTTCTCCACTTACTATCTTTTAAATTAATTATATATAATAAACTATAAAATATATTAATACCTCCTATGATGAGTTTCATATCACAAGGAAAATGGTGATAATCCTTATCCATTCAGATCCTCTTTTATTTAGTTTGAAATGTATGAGATTTCCATTCTGAAGGTCAAAACCAGATGAATAGCAGAAATTTCATATTATTTAACCTAAGTCATAACATACATTTTTATTGAGCAGTTACTGTGTAGAAAGCATAGTTGTCAGACATTGGGGATACAACAGTGAACAAAAATAAAATTTGTTTTCATTGACTTTACATTCTAATTGAAGACAAAAATAAACAGAATAAGAGATGAAAATATAGTGGGTCATGTAGTGTAGAGAGCTTAGAAGGAAAATAAAACAGAATAAAGAGACAAAGAGTCACTTGAGGGGAGGGGTGGCATAGTAAAACAAGGAGAATTGAGTAAAATGTACCTACTGAATGTTGAGACTCTCAGCCACATTTCCTTACTTGGATTTCAGATTTCTGGCAGCTCTGTAATTAAATATCAGAAAGGAGATTAAAAGGTCTTCCACCATATTCTTCTATGATCATCTTCCCAAGAGAAAAGATCTGAATTACCTTTGGTTTTCATTAACAAAACAACTCAGCCAGATCACATCAGAGTGAATTTTTGCTGCACAGCTTCTGAGAAAGCTTTCTGGTGCTCCATAGTTAAATATGAAGAGGCAGCTAAGGGCTGCCAGATTTTCTTCTAATCTTCAGCCACGAATCTGAAGGTTAGAAGACAAAGCCAACAGGCAAAACAGTAACTTAGAAGAAACAAAGATTTCACAAGGAGAAGAAAACTTCAAAAATGTTTGATATTTTCAGGGAGAGAAGAGAAGAAATACTGATGTTAAAAAGCTAATTTGGAGAATAAAAAAATGAAAAACTCAATAAGAGATTTACATAATAATCCATCAATAACTAAGTAAAATTTATTTTAAAAAGAAAATTAAATAAAAATACCAGAAATCAGAAATAGAAAAAAATGTATGAAATATATAGATAAAAACACAACATAAGGTCAACATCCAAATAGTAAAAGTCTAAACAAGAGATATAGAATATTGAGGGTACATGGATGAAATAGTCATTAAATAATTGAAGCAATTATTGAGAAATCATTATAAAGTTTCAGAATTCTGACCACAAAGAAAAGAACACTTTCAAACGAGTGAGAAAACAGGTTTCATGCAATAGCAATACCAAGCTTTAGGAACAAAATGGAGTTAACAGTTTCTAAATACTAAGAGAAATTCTTTCCAGGTTTAAATTTCATACCTAGCCAATTAAGGGTGTGGGTAGAAGGAAATTATTTTTAGACAAGCAAGGTTTCAAAAACATTACTTTGCAAAACTTTTCAGAAAAGTAATAGAATAGATATTCTCTCAATCTGAGGGAGCAATTCAAGAAAACATAGGATCCAAGGAATAGGAGCTTGTTAAGAGAGAAGACAAGAATCCCAGAAAGATAGTGGACAGAAATACCAAGTTCACAGTTCTGCAGCAGGCTGAGAGATCAGTCACTTCCTACTGGAGTGAATCAGAAGGCTCTGAGAGGAAGAACTGAATGTGTCTGAGATTTATACATGGGAAAGTGAGTCTGAGAATAATTATATATATTTAGATGGAGTTTTGCTCTTGTTGCCCAGGCTGGAGTGCTGTGGTGCGATCTCAGCTCACTGCAACCTCCACCTCCTGGGTTCAAGGGATTTTGCTGCCTCAGCCTCCTGAGTAGTTGGGATTACAGGCATGCGCCACCACACCCGGCTAATTTGTGTATTTTTAGTAGAGACGGGGTTTCACCATGTTGGCCAGGCTGGTCTTGAACTCCTGACTTCAGGTGATCCACCAGCCTTGGCCACCCAAAGTGCTGGGATTACAGGAGTGAGCTATCGTGCCCGGCCAGTTCTATAGAAATTTGAACAATTGGTCATTAGTAACTCCAAGGAAAAGTGGGAAGGGAAGGGAAGAAGGGAAGGGAAGGGAAAGGAAGGGAAGGGAAGGGAAGGGAAGGGAAGGGGAGGGGAGGGGAGGGAAGGGAAGGGAAGGGAAGGGAAGGGAAGGGAAGGGAAGGGAAGGGAAGGGAAGGCAAGGCAAGGCAAGGCAAGGCGGAAAAAAAGAAAAGTTATTTAATTAAAGAATACTATAAGGTTCAGTTATGAACATGTTTGCATAATTAGACTATGAAAATGTTGGATACTTATATAATCAAATTAGATAAGTGGACATGGAGGACAATGAGGAACATATTATAAAAGCATACTAGCATTGTGGCTGGCAAAATGGCTGAAGACAAACAGTTCCTGTCTGCAGCTTTCACCAAGATCAACACAGAAGGCAGGTGATTTCTGCATTTTCAACTGAGGTCCTTGGCTCATCTCATTGGGACTGGTTAGACAGTGGGTGTAGCCCATGGAAGGTGAGCTGAAGCAGGGTGGGGCGTCTCACATGGGAAGTGCAAGGGGTTGGGGAATTCCCTCTCCTAGCCAAGCGAAGACATGAGGGGCCATGCCATGAAGAACAGTGCATTCCAACCCAGATACTGTGCTTTTCCCATGATCTTCACAACCTGCAGACCAGGAGATTCCCTTGGATGCCTACACCATCAGAGCCCAGGGTTTCAAGCACAAAACTGGGCAGCCATTTGGGCAGACACTGAGCAAGCTGCAGGTGTTTATTTTTTCATACCCTAGTGGCTCCTGGAATGCCAGCGAGACAGAACTGTTCACTCCCCTGGAAAGGGGGCTGAAACCAGGGAGCCAAGTGGTCTAGCTCAGCAGATCCCACCCCCACAGAGCCCAGCAAGCTAAGGTCCACTGGCTTGAAGTTCTTGCTGCCAGCAGAGCAGTCTGATGTCGACTTGGGACACTCGAACTTGGTGAGAAGAGGGGCATCTACCATTACTGAGGCTTGAGTAGGCAGGTGTAAAAAAAGCTGCCGGGAAGTTCAAATGGCAGAGCCCACCGCAGTTCAGCAAAGTCACTGTAGCCAGACTGCCTCTCTAGATTCCTCCTCTCTGGGCAGGGTGTCTCTGAAAAATAGGCAGCAGCCCCAGTCAGGGGCTTATAGATAAAATTCCCATCTTGCTGGGACACAGCACCTGGGGGAAGGGGTGGCTGTGGGTGCAGTTTCAGCAGAATTAAACACACCTACCTGCTGACTCTGAAGAGAGCAGCAGATCTCCCGGCACAGCTCTTGAGCTCCGCTAAGGGACAGACTGCTTCCTCAAGTGGGTCCCTGACCCCCGTGCCTCCTGACTGGGAGACACCTCCCAGCAGGGGTTGACAGACACTCCAGCTGGCATCTGGCGGGTGCCCCTCTGGGACGAAGCTTCCAGAGGAAGGAATAGGCAGCAATCTTTGCTGTTCTGCAGCCTCCACTGGTGATACCCAGGCAAACAGGATCTGGAATGGACCTCCAGCAAACTCCAGCAGACCTGAAGCACAGGGGACTGTCTGTTAGAAGGAAAACTAACAAACAGAAAGGAATAGCATCAACATCAACAAAAAGGAAGTCCACACCAAAACCCCATCCAAAGATCATCAACATCAAAGATCAAAGGTAGATAAATCCATGAAGATGAGGAAAAAACAGTGTGAAACGGCTGAAAATTCAAAAACCAGAATGCCTCTTTTCCTCTGAAGTATCACGACTACTCACCAGCAAGGGAACAAACTGGTGGAGAATGAGTTTGACAAATTGACAGAAGTAGGCTTCAGAAGGTGGATAATAAAAAACTCCTCTGAGCTAAAGGAACATGTTCTAACCCAATGCAAGGAAGCTAAGAACCTTGAAAAAAGGTTACAGGAATTGCTAACTAGAAAAACCAGTTTAGAGAAGAACATAATGACCTGATGATGCTGAAAAACAAAGCATGAGAACTTTGTGAAGCATACACAACTATCAATAGCTGAATCGATCAAGCAGAAGAAAGGATATCAGAGATTGAAGTTCAGCTAAATGAAATAAAGTGTGAAGACAAGATTACAGAAAAAAGAATGAAAAGGAATGCCCAAAGTATCCAATAAACATGGGACTATGTGAAAAGACCAAACCTACGTTTGATTAGTGTACCTGAAAGTGACAGGGAGAATGGAACCAAGTTGGAAGACACACTTCAGGATATTATCCAGGAGAACTTCCCCAACCTAGCAAGACAGGCCAACATTCAAATTCAGAAAATACAGAGAACATCACAAAGATACTCTTCGAGAAGAGCAACCCCAAGACGCATACTCATCAGATTCACAAAGGTTGAAATGAGGGAAAAAATGTTAAGGGCAGCCAGAGAGAAAGGTCAGGTTACCCACAAAGGGAAACCCATCAGACTAATAGCAGATCTCTCTGCAGAAACCCTACAAGCCAGAAGAGAGTGGGGGCCAATATTCAACATTCTTAAAGAAAAGAGTTTTCAACTTAGAATTTTATACTCAGTCAAACTAAGCTTCATAAGCGAAGGAAAAACAAAGTCCTTTATAGACAAGCATATGCTGAGAGATTTTGTCACTGCCAGGCCTGCCTTACAAGAGCTCCTGAAAGAAGCACTAAACGTGGAAAGGAAAAACAGGTACCAGCCACTGCAAAAACATACTAAATTGTAAAGACCATCGACACTATGAAGAAACTTCATCAACTAACAGGCAAAATAACCAGCTAGCATCATAATGACAGGGTCAAATTCACATGTAACAATATTAACCCTAACTGTAAATGGGCTAAATGTCTCAATTAAAAGACACAGATTGGCAAATTGGATAGTCAAGACCCATCAGTGTGCTGTATTCAGGAGACCTATCTCACATGCAAAGATACACATAGGCTCAAGATGAAGGGATGGATAAATATTTACCAAGCAAATGGAAAGCCAGAAAAAGCAGGGGTTGTAATCCTAGTTTCTGATAAAACAGACTTTCAACCAACAAAGATTAAAAAAAAACAAAGAAGGACATTATGTAATGGTAAAGGGATCAACACAACAAGAAGAGCTAACTATCCTAAATATATATGCACTCAATAAAGGAGCACTCAGATTCATAAAGCAAGTTCTTAAAGACCTACAAAGAGACTTAGACTCCTACACAATAATAGTGGGAGACTTTAACACCCCACTGTCAATACTAGACAGGTCAATGAGAGAGAAAATTAACAAGGATGTTCAGGACTTGAACTCATCTCTGGACCAAGCAGACCATATAGACATCTACAGAACGCTCCACCACAAATCAACAGAATATACATTCTTCTCAACACCACATCATACTTATTCTAAAATTGACCACATAATTGGAAGTAAAACACTCCTCAGCCAATGCAAAAGAATGGAAATTATAACAGTGTCTTAGACCACACTGCAATCAAATTAGAACTCAGGATTAAGAAACTCACTCAAAACTGCACAACTACATGGAAACTGAACAATCTGCTCCAGAATGACTACTGAGTAAAAGTGAAATTAAGGCAGAAACAAATAAGTTCTTTGAAACCAATGAGAACAAAAACACAACGTACCAGAATCTCTGGGACACAGCTAAAGCAGTGTTTAGAGGGAAATTTATAGCACTAAATGCCCACAAGAGAAAGTAAGAAAGATCTAAAATCGACACCCTAACATCACAATTAAAAGAACTAAAGAAGCAAGAGCCAACAAATTCAAAAGCTAGCAGAAGAAAAGAAATAACTAAGATCAGAGCAGCACTGAAAGAGATAGAGACTCGAAAAACCCTTCAAAAAATAAATGAACCCAGGAGTTGTTTTTTGAAAAGATTAACAAAATAGATAGACCACCAGCCAGATTAATAAAGAAGACATAAGAATTAAATAGACACAATAAAAAATGATAGAGGGGAGATCACCACTGATCCCACAGAAATACAAACTACTATCAGAGAATACTATAAACACCTCTATGCAAGTAAATCTAGAAGAAATTGATAAATTCCTGGACACATACACCCTCCTAAGACTAAACCAAGAAGTTGAATCTCTGAATAGACCAATAACAAGTTTTGAAATTGAGGCAGTAATTAATAGCCTACCAACCAAAAGAAGTCCAGGACCAGATGGATTCACAGCCGAATTCTACCACAGGTACAAAAAGGAGCTGGTACCATTCCTTCTGAAACTATTCCAAACAATAGAAAAGAGAGACTCCTCTCTAACTCATTGTGTGAGGCCAGCATCATCCTAATACTAAAGCCTGGCAGAGACACAACAACAACAAAAAAGAGAATTTTAGGCCAACATCCCTGATGAACATCAATGCAAAAATTTCAATAAAATACTGGCAAACCAAATCTAGCAGCACATCAAAAACCTTATTCACCACAATCAAGTCAGCTTCAAACCTGGGATGCAAGGCAGGTTCAACATATACATATCAATACATGTAATCCACATAAAGAGAACCAAAGACAAAAACCACATGATTATCTCAATAGATGCAGAAAAGGCCTTCAACAAAATTCAACAGCCTTTCATACTAAAAACACGCACAAACTTGGTATTGATGGAAGATACTTCAAAATAATAAGAGCTATTTATTACAAACCCTCAGCCAATATCATACTGAATGGGCAAAACCTGGAAGCATTCCCTTTGAAAACCGGCACAACACAAGGATGTCCTCTCTTACCACTTCTATTCAACATAGTACTGGAAGTTCTGGCCAGGGCAATCAGGTAAGAGAAAACAATAAAGGGTATTCAAATAGGAAGAGAGGAAGTCAAATTGTCTCTGTTTGCAGATGACATGATTGTATATTTAGAAAACCCCATCGTCTCAGCCCCAAATCTCCTTAAGCTGATAAGCAACTTCAGCAAAGTCTCAGGATACAAAATCAATGTGCAAAAATCACAAGCATTCCTATACACCAATAATAGACAAACAGAGAGCCAAATCATGAGTGAACTCCCATTCACAATTGCTACAAAGAGAATAAAATACCTAGGAATACAACTTACAAGGGATGTGAAGGACCTCTTCAAGGAGAATTACAAACCACTGTTCAAGGAAATGAGAGAGGACACAAACAAGTGGAAAAACATTCCATGCTCAAGGACAGGACGAATCAATATTGTGAAAATGGCCATACTGCCCAAAGTAATTTATAGATTCAATGCTATCCACATCAAGCTACCACTGACTTTCTAAACAGAATTAGAAAAAACTACTTTAAATGTCATACAGAAGCAAAAAAGAGCCTGTTTAGTCAAGATAATCCTAAGCAAAAAGAACAAAGCTGGAGGCATCACACTACCTGACTTCAAACTATACTACAAGGCTACAGTAATCAAAACAGCATGGTACTGGCACCAAAACAGATATATAAACAAATGGAACAGAACAGAGACCTCAAAAATAACACCACACATCTACAACCATCTGATCTTTGACAACTCTGACAAAAACAAGCAATGGGGAAAGGATTCCCTATTTAATAAATGGTGTTGAAAAAACTGGCTAGCCATATGCGGAAAACTGAAACAGGACCCCTTCCTTACACCTTACATAAAAATTAACTCAAGATGGATTAAAGACTTAAATGTAAGACCTAAAACCATAAAAACCTAGAAGAAAACCTGGGCAATACCATTCAGGACATAGGCATGGGCAAAGACTTCATGACTGAAACACCTAAAGCAATTGCAACAAAAGCCAAAATTGACAAATGGGATCTAATCAAACTAAAGAGCTTCTGCACAGCAAAAGAAACTATCCTCAGAGTGGACAGGCAACCTACAGAATGGGAGAAAATTTTTGCAATCTATTTATCTGACAAAAGGCTAATATTTAGAATCTACAAGGAACTTAAACAAATGTACAAGAATAAAACAAACAACCCCATCAAAAAGTGGGCAAAGGATATGAATAGACACTTCTCAAAAGAAGACAATTATGTGGCCAATAAACATATTTTTAAAAGCTCGTCATCACTGGTCATTAGAGAAATGCAAATCAAAACCACAATGAGATACCATCTCACGCCAGTAAGAATGGCGATCATTAAAAAATCAGGAAATAGGCCGGGGGCAGGGGCTCACGCCTGTAATCCCAGCACTTTGGCAGGCTGAGGTAGGTGGATCACGAGGTCAAGGGATCGAGACCATCCTGGCCAACATGGTGAAACCCCATCTCTACTAAAAATACAAAAATTAGCTGGGTGTGGAGGCATGCACCTGTTGTCCCAGCTACTGGGGAGGCTGGGTCAGGAGAATCGCTTGAACCCAGGAAGCGGAGGTTGCAGTGAGCTGAGATCATGCCACTGCACTCCAGACTGGTGACACAGTGAGATG